GTTTTGGAAACTCGGTTGCGAAATCCTTCCGGCGCCGAAGGTGTTTGAAGGATTTCGGCGTGCGCGCGCGACGACGCGCGTGTGCGCACGTCGTCTCATTTTTTGCAAGGGATTCGTGAAAAAGTGCTATGTTAGAACAAAAAATGTCACCACATAGTGTTTTTTTGTTGCACGGGACCCTCAGGGGGGGGAAACCGGCCTGCCTGGGATGGTATGATTTCATATTTAGGATGGACGAGGGTGCAGAATATATATATATATATATATATATATATATATATATATATATATATATATATATATGAGTGAAATTATACAATCCCAGGGGGAGCTGATAAGTCTGGGGGGGGGGGGTAGAGTCTATTTTCTTTTAAAAAGGAGAATCCACTCTGCTGAACTTGAAGTCGTCATCTCCACTGCTCGCGCAAACATCCCACCCACCCACCCGCAACTTGGCTTGCAAAACCTGTTAAGACCGACTACGACGACACCGACGACAACGACTAGGACGACACCGACGACGCCTCCGACGACTTCGACGACGACAACGACGCCGACGCCGACGACGAAGACGACGACGACGACGCCAACGAAGGCGACGACGAGGGAGGAGGAAGGACGACGACGGCGACAACGACGACAACGACGAGGGAGGAGGGAGGACGGCGACGACGCGAACGACGACGAAGGAGGAAGGACGGCGACGCCGACGACGACAACGACGAGGGAGGAGGGAAGACGACGACGACAACGACGACGACGACGACGGCGACGAAATAGGAGGGACGATGACGAGACGCCGACGACGGACGACGACGACGACGAGGGAGGAGGAGGAAGGACGACCACGGCGACAACGACGACGGAAACGACCACGACGCCAAAGAGGACGACGACGACGAACACGAGGAAAGACAGAGGACGACGTAGGCGACGACGACGACGACGACGCGGGAGGAGGGAGGACGGCGACGACGACGACGACGACGCAAGAGCGCGCGCGCACGCTTTTGTTGAAAATGCGTGTTGCGAAACCTTGGGTTTTTGTAGGTTTTTTGGATGCACGATTTTAAAATCCTTCCGAAACCGATGGGTTTTGAACGTTTTCGGCATACGCGCGCGACCACGCGCGCGTCTGCACTTCGTTCCATCTTGTGCAGAGGATTCTCGCGACGGCACACGCGCAAGGGCGTTCGACAGATTTCGGCATGCGCGCGCGAAGCCCGCTTGGTAGCATTTGGTGAAAATCTTGAAAACCGATGGTTTTCTTAAGACTTCGCAAGACCTCGCGCGGATTTTTTTTAGCAAATCCGTGTTGCGAAACCATGTGTTTTTGTATGTTTTTTTTTGGAAGCTCGATTGCGAAATCCTTCCGGCACCGAGGGTTTTTGAAGGATTTCGGCGTGCGTGCGCGACGACGCGCGCGTGCGCACTTCGTCTCATTTGTTGCAAGGGATTCGTGAAACAATGTGATGCTAGAACAAAACATGTCACCGCATTTTTTTTTACAAGGGAGCCTCAGGGGGGGAACCCGGTTTGGCTGGGATGATATGATTTCATATTTCGGATGGACGAGTGTGCAGAATATATATATATATATATATATTATACATATGAAATCGTACTATACCAGGGGGTACCAACAAGTCCGGGGGGGGGTAGAGTCTATTCTCTTTTTAGGAGGGAGAATTTATATGGTGCGATCTATGAGGTGCAGCAACGGTTGTGCAATCAATGTGGTGCAGCCTACTTTGTGCCGCCCACGTGGTGCATTCTTAGCGGTGCAATCTGCGTTGTGTAATCCATGCGATGCACTGGATTTAAAGAAACAAGTTGGCACATCCAATGCTCTTGCAAACATCCCACCACCCACCCGCGACTTGGTTTGCACAACCCATGCGCTGGCGATTGCGATGCATGCTCGGCGTTGGCTGGTGCATGTCTGCGGCCGCGCCAACCCATGCGCGCGCGCAGCGGTCAGGTAGCTTGGCGCGACCGACGCGGCCGAAGGGGCGCTGACCGCTGGGCACATCCCAGCGGGCACTTCACTGCGGGTCGTTGAATTGTGCGGGCGCGGTACCATGGCAACGTCGACAACGGTAGACACGATGATGATAGTAGCGATGCTGGTGACGATGTCGACAACGGAAAAAAGGCGTGGCCAGTGTGGGCGACGATGCTGATCACGCCGCGACGATGACGGCGTTCTCGCGTCAGCGATGAAGGCTTTGGAAGCAATTTGACATTTTTCGCGGCCGACGTTCGCGCTTGGCTCGTATCGTTTGAAAAAAGGATCATGTCCCCCCCCCGCGCGCGCGCAAAGGCGTGCGAATGATGCCGACATGCGGCGCGAGAGGCCCGTTTGGCAGAATCCCATGCAAATGCTGAAAAAAAAAAAAACAGCCTTTAGTTTTCTTTTTTCGCAAGAGCACGGGCGCACGCTTTTTTGAAAACGGATGTTGCGGAACAGTGATTGCTTGTATTGTTTTTACAACACTCGATTTTTAAATCGCTACGGAACCGACGGTTTTCAACGGACTTCGGCATGCGCGCGCGACGACGCGCGGACGCGCACGTCGTCTCATTTTTCTACGGATTCTCGCGACGGCACGCGCGCAAAGGCGTTCGAAGAATTTCGACATGCGCGCGCGAACCCCGTGTGGTGGAATGTTATGAGAGTGTTGAGAAGCGATGGTTTCCTTTAGAATTCGCAAAAGCGCACACTCGATTTTGAAACCAAAACGAAAACCACAGATTTGGGAAGGCTTTCGGCATGCGCGCGCGAGGCCGCGCGCGTGTGCACGTCGCCACAAATTGTTCAAACGATTCCTGAAACCGTATGAGTTGTTGATAAACGAACGTGCGCGCATACAATTTGTTGCAGGAGGGTGGCGGGGGGGCGATCCGGTTTGTGCTGGCATGCTACGAACTCATGTTTAGGATTGACGATGGGGCAACATCGATACGAACAGGGGAGCGGATAATCCCAGGGGGTGCGGTAGAGCCTATTCTCTAACGAGAACCTATGTTGTGCAATCTACGGCGGCGGTGACGGCGACAACATGGCTGCCAGACCGACCGTCAGGCCCAGACGACGGGCGGCGACGAAGTGTCGACGGGGCGGCGGCGGCGACTACATAACCGCCGCATCGACCTGCAAGCCCATGTCGTTGAAAAAGAATGAAGAACCAGAGGTGCAAACACTGTTGGGGGATCCCATACTCTTCTCTAACACACTCCGCATCTGTTCTTCTTAGCGGGGGCAGCCACCGACACAAACATCCACTTTTGGAGTGCCCCGCTGATTTCTTGGATCTACGCTGGGCCCCCCTGGAGGCGCATCCTGCGCCGTTCTTGGTGCGCTTTCATATTCGGCGTTTCGGCATTGGGCGAACAAAGGGGGGTTGGGGGGGGGTCTGGCTCTGGACCTCTGCTTGGCGCGACCGTTCGCAACCGTGCGTCCCATGGGGGGGACTCCACCTGCCTGAAACAGGCGCCGAAACAAGGCCAATATCTGCTTTAGGTGCGGGGGGGGCGGAGGGGGTGCGAAGGCCCGCGCCGATCGGTAAACCAATGTTGATCGGCGGTGGGTACACCTCCCTTTAATAAACCACCCTCTGCCAAGAGGGCTCTAAGAGGCCTCCAAGACAGCCAAAAAATGCTCCGAGTCACCGAACGAGCGGTCCAAGACGCCCAAGATGGCCTTCATACGGCCCTCGAGGCCGCCGAGAAGCCCCAAGAGAGTCTCAAGAGGCTCTCCAAGAGGGCTCCAACAAGCAAACATCGTCCCATGCCCTCGGGAAACAAAACACTTTTCGCATATACGAAGTCTGGGGTTCACAGCGTCCAAACGTGCCCAAAAGGCCCCCAAAATCGCCCCAAGACGGCCCAACAAGCACGCTCACGGGAGCCTTAGCGCTCTCAGTGTTTTACATCACTGTTCGCTCTTGGTAGGCCTCCTGGGGGTCCTCTTGAAGCTCTTTTCGGCTGTTTGGGGGCCGACGAGGGGTAGTCGTGCCAGCTTGGGGCACTCTTGCCTCTTGGGAGCCTTGGCGTTCACAATGTTGTACGTCACTGTACGCTCTTCGGGGCCTTGTTGATCAGAGCTCGTAAACAGCTCTTGGATGCATCTTTGAAAGCCTCTTCGGGGCTTCTTCAGAATCTTCGCGGCCGTTTTCGGGCCCTCTGGAGCCGTCCCAGGCCTCTCTGGGTGCGTCTCGGGGGGCTTGGGCCTGCTTGGGGCACTCTTGGGGCCCTCTTGGGAGTCTCCCGTGGCCTCCTTGCGCCTCTCCTGGGAAACTCTGAGACTCTGTGAGGCCCTCCTTGGGCCGTCTTGGGGCTCTCTTGGGCTGTCCTGAGGCGCTCCGAAGCCGTTTTGAAGCCCTCTTGAGAGCCTCTGGAAACGTTTTGGGGCCGCCGCTCCCTGCAGCTTCGCACTGCTGACGACCTCTCGGCCAGGCCACCGCGGTGCGCAATGTGAGCCGGCGGAGTGAGCGAAGCGATTAAATACACCACCCTTTTGTGAAAACGGCCTGGGACCGAAGCCGACGGACCTGGACCCGCAGAAGCGACGGCCGCGACGCCCTCCCGCGAACCGAAAACCGCCAACTCGCAAATCGACGTGTCAGGGTAGAAGGTCGGTCCACCGCCGATTCTACTCTGGGGGGAGGCGGAGGGGGTGCGACGGCCCGCGCCGATCGGTAAAACAATGATGAAGAAAACGATCGCCTTCATCCTCCTCCAGCTGCTCCTCCTCCTCCTCCTGCTCCTCCTCCTCCTCCTCCTCCTCCTCCTCCCCCTCCTCCTCTTCCTCCTCCTCCTCATCCCCCTCCTCCTCCTCCTCCTCCTCCTCCTCCTCCTCATCATCATCCCCGTCCTCCTTTTCCTCCTCCTTATCCCCCTCCTCCTCTTCCTCCTCCTCCTCCTGCAGCATTTTGTTCCTCGCCCTCCGCAGACCGACCCACGGCTGGCGGCGGCAACAACAAAAAACGACGGCGGGCCTCGGCGGCCGCCGCCTCCTCCGCGGCGCGCGCGGCGGCGTTGCCCTCCGCGCTCCGGCGCAGGGCCTCCTCGAGCATGGCGCTCTCGAGGAACCTCGGCACCAGCCTCCTCCTCCTCCTCCTCCTCCGCCGCAGCTCGTCGTCGCCGTGGTCGTCGCGACGACCATGACGACGACGACGACGGCGGCGACGACGACGACGACGACGACCACGACGGCGACGGCGACGACGACGAGCTCGCCGCCCTCGCCGGAAACGCCCACGACGGTGCTCTCCAGGAACATCGACGACGACGAGGACGTCGCCGCTCTCCTCGGGCACTGGCAGGACTGGGCTTCGTTGGACCTGGCCCAATGATGTGTGCCTGGGGACACCCCGTCCGCCCCATTCTCCACTGCAGGGCCGAACCTATACGATGTTTTCGTTTTCATTTGTTTGTTCGTACCTCCGTTTCGTTTTCGGTTCGTTGTTCGTTTTCGTTTTTGGTTTTCGTTCTCGTTTTGTTGTTCGTCCCTCCTCGTTTTGCCCTCACTTCGCCTTGAATACAAAACACAACAAAAAACACAACGGCCCACGAGAGGGCCAAAACACCGTTTGGGCCCAGCCCTGCTCCGCCATACGGAACTGCTGCCACCCGAACGGACACCAACTACGGCAAGCCTGGTTCAGGGATCCTGGTCCACTTCTTGGGCTTCGGGGCTCCCTAACCGACTCCCCTTACCCGGGGTCATGGCAATACCCGATCGTCGTCGCTCTCCAGCAACCTCGACGTCGTCGTGGTCGTCGTCGCGGCCAGTCGCTGCCGCCACCTGCGTCGTCGTCGGCTGTCGTCGTCTCTCGTCGCCCGCTGTCGGCATCCTCTCCCTCGTCAATCATGTCGTCGCCGTCGTCAAGGATCTGGGGGGCATGTCTGTGGGCATGTGTATATACTCACATAAAACATACAGACAGACAGGCAGACAGACAGACAAACACACAGACAGACATACAGACATACACACATGCATCCATAGTTACAGAGAGAGAGAGAACTTTACATATACATATGTATACATACAGTCAAACCGCAGAATCAGCATGCGCGGTGAGCATGCAAGCGAAGGCCTTGGAGGACCACGTCGACCCTCTTTCTAGCGGGGCGCGGCCAGCGAAAACGGCCAATCAAGGATGGGCCGAAGAAGGATGCAAGGGTAATCCTGGAAAGTGGCTCATCCGTACTAGTTGGGCTGATTATTCGTGCCTTTGCATATATGTACACATATCTATACACACGATATATACAAAGTATACACATCTGTGCGTTCGGTCCCTTTTGGGGGGGCCTTTGGGGGGGTGGGCTAGGAGGATGGGGGAAGGCGAGAGTGGAGGGAGAGGGAGTTTGGACAGAGAGGGAAAGAGACGGGAGGCGCGAGAGGGGTGACGTGGCGTGGGGAGAGGGAGGGAATGACGATCGGACTTCGGCCCGCCCCCGATAAGCGAGGCAGGAAGGGCAACCTTTCGACTCTTGCCTTCGGAAGGCGCTCCTTCTAAATAGGGATCTGATGATCAATCGCTATCAACGGTCGACGAGCATGCATGCTAGGTCGAGGAAGCGTGGATGGACAACTGGGCGCCTTGGCCCCTGCAACCTTCACCTCTGACTGACTCGCCCGCGGGCAATAACCTGCACACGAGCCGCGATGCCGCAACCCGTCCTGGCCGCGAAGAGCATCTCGTGCCCGAAACGCGCCACCATCAGACAGTGGCCGAGAGCGGAATCACGTCGACGGTTCGCTTAGGTTGGAAGATGCACGACACGTAGCAGAAAATACTCGAAAACAGTCGAAACATCGTCCCCACACTATGTTTGCCTATTTTTTTGAATATTCTTTCTGTCGAATGACATGCCCGACTTAACGGTCGCGCCAATCTGGCAGACGAACCCGTAGGGGACACATTATGGGTGACCCAAGACGGGGTCCAGCCGAAAGGGGGTGGTGCAATAACTTTGGGGCAATTGTATTCCAACTGTACTGCGCCGGAGAATTGTATTGCATTCTATGGCAAGAAATGTATTGCGCACGAAAATCCAACAATACATTTGCGCCCCGGAATGTATTGCACGCCCCGGATGAATTGCGACCCAACAAAACAATTACACCAATCTATTCCAACCACCCCTTGTCAGTGGACCCCCTCGGGGGTCAACCCGACACATGTCTCGTCGACCTTCGTCTCTCCGCGAGGCACCCGAGGCCCCTGTGGGGGCCACAGGGGGAACAGCATGGATCTCCACGGAGCCCTCGCCACGGAATAGCTTCGCTATTGATGTAGAGTGCAGAACATCCATCTCAATTAAACTCATCACCCCGACAAGCGAAGCCGTTTAGTAAACGCACCGAGTGAAGGAATCGAATTGGGCAGGGCTGTTTAGTAAACGTCGAAGGCCATTTAGTAAACGTCAGTTGTCGTGTCGGGATGGATTTCCTACCTTGATCATGCTCCTGCTGGGGACCACAGCCCTGGCAGCGTCATACAGTGGGGGCCCAACCACAAGAAGCCTTCCACCACAAACCCAGCCCTGAGACCCCAAGGCGTCCATGGATTTCTGTTGGAGTGGGAACATCACGCTTTCCGTAGCAAAACCATCGAAACCCAAGAAACCCAGGGCACCCTGGAGGCAAGCAGGGTGTTTCTTGGCATGGGTCCCCACTGTAACGTTGCCTGGCAATGCTCCCCTCGAAGACGACGAAACCACACCGCGACTTCTGAACCGCGCAGGCTCAGCGAGGGATGTCCGTCTATGGGGGGCTGGCCACGGGCGAGGACGACGACGACAAGGACAGAGGAGGACGACTCGCACGAAAGACACGGGCCCTGGAAGCGTTTGGCCGCCTCTTTGGCCCCCAGGACCGTCAACCAACGGCCCAGGGTGAAGAGCTGGTCCTGGGGGATGCCCAGGGACCTAGGGCCCGCATCTTCCATGGAAGGAACAAACAACGGCACACACAACAACACATCTGAGGTCCGCGCGGGTGTCTCGGATCGGCGCTGGACCTCCCTCTCCCCTTCGCTCTCCGAACATGTATGTTCATGTTTTCTTCTTCGACCTCAGGGCCCGTGCCCTCCCATCTGGTGGCGCGAACAAGGGGGTATGGGGGAGGGGGGAAGCCTTCTTCTTAGAAGGAGGCCGCTTCTTAGAAGGTACCAGCCCGTCATCTACAGACAAGGCCGGCACCTTCTCAAAGGCAGGGATGCTTCTGAGAAGCCTTCCCCCCTCCCTCTACCCTTAGGTCAGGCGTGTCTTTCTACAGGGGGATTTTGGGCGACAAATCATAAATACTCGAAGCGACTCCCCAGATGCTCGAAAATAGTGACAACATAGTCCCCAGACTATTGTTGGCCTATTTTAAAATATTCTCCCTGTAGAGGGACAGGCCCGACTCGACCCTGCCCCGCTCTGCGCGTGGAGACCCATTCGGGGAGACGGGCAACTCGGGCTTGAGACTTGCCGCCGCCGCCGCCGCAGTCGTCGTCGTCGCTGTCGTCGTCGTCGTTGTTGTCGTCGTCGTCGTCGTCCTCGTCGCCGCCGTTGTCGTCGTCGCCGTCGCCGCTGGGAAGCGGCCCAAACGCCCCGCGCGGGTGCTGGCCGTCAGAGGGCCGCCGACCGCGGAGGGCCCCATCGGTGCAGCCCCGGGCACCGCCAACGGCAACGACGATGAAGCCGACGGCGGCAGCAGCGACGCCGACGGCGCGACGGCCGCTAGCAGGAGGGGCCCTGAGATCCTGGCGTTGCAATTTTTTCACAGCCGGTGTTTTTGCCCCGTTTCGGGCCCCTGGACCCTCACAGATCGATGCGGCTCGACCAATGACGCAGGAAGATGGCGTCCAGGGCTCCGTTCGCAATTTTTTGTGATGTTTCAAATTTTTCGCAACGTCGGATCTAAGGGGAGACGGAAAAGCAGGATTCGGGTTGGCCTGACGGGGCCGTCAGGGAAATGGCGAGCCACAGTCTGAAATCCGGCGCGAGGTCCCTCTGCAAACGCCCCGCGAGAACTGGGCAACCAGTGCTCCGGACGGGCCAGTCAAAAAGCATAGGCAAACCCGAGCTCCGGCTAACTCGAGCCTCACGTTTCCTCGGTCCATGGCGGGACGCAGACGACGACGCGGTCAAAACGCGCCGGTGAACCCGAGCTCCGGCGAACTTGAGCCCTATGGCGGGGCGACGACCACGACGCGGTCAAAAAGCGTCGGCAAACTCGAGCTCTGGCGGACTCGAGCCTTTCGATGCTCGACCCTTATCCATGGCGGGGCGACGACGACGACGCGGTCAAAACGCGCCGGCAAACCCGAGCTCTGGCGGACTCGAGCCTTTCGATGCCCCGATCCATGGCGCGCGACGATGACGCGACTGCGGCGGCGGCAGAAGCGGGCGGCGGGCGCCGCCGAGGGCCGCTGCTACGCTAGGCCCGCGGCTGCAGCAAGCCGCCCGCCTGCCGGACCTGGAAGCGGTGGCCGCGGGGGTGGCCTGGCGCGGGGGGCACCGGCTCTGAGCCAACCGAGCGACGAAACGAGCCGGGCCTTGCGGCAGGGCCGTGTCGTGAAGCCCTGGCGTCGGCTTCCGGCACCGCGTGGATCGTTCCGCCTTGAACTATCGGCGGCGTTTCGATCGCCAGCTCGTTGCATGTTGACTTGTCTAGGGCCACTCCTCGGGACCGTGTTCCTGCGGCTCGTGCCCTGCTGCTGCTGCTGCTGCTCATCCTGCTCCAGCTTCAGTTCCTTTCCGACTTGTTGGATATATATATATATATATTACGTACTCATCGTAGGGCAAGATACTGTCATGATGTGAGTGGCTCAAGATACGTTGCGGGAAGTCTTGAGTTTGTGGGGGCACTCCTCCACTCGTACAGTGGCACGGAACAGCGAAATAATACTAACTTGCCTGATGTTCGCGCGTATTTCTGGGATTGACGCTGGATCCCTTCGAGCCTACTCGACCAATTGTGTCTGGCCGTGCGGGACAGCAAGACAACCTCGAAATCTTGAAACGTATGATTCGCTAGAGGCCACCCAAATGGGGTCCGAGTAAATGGGGTCGGAGGATCGCGCCGCATCGCGAATGCATTACCGATTGGCGATGCATCTTCGACGTCGGAGATGCATCGGCGGCGCCGACGTGGAGAACATCGGGCTCCGCTTCGAGCTGCATCACCAGTGCATCGGCGATGCGGCGCGATCCCTCGACACCATCTACTCGGAACCCACCTGGAAGGCCTAGGTGATCATGACCTCTCTCTCCTCTGACCAACAAGAAGACTCGGGCTGAGGAGAAGGGCCCTCAAGGGGCCGTTTTCTTCACCCCCCATTTAGGTCACCACCCATGAGCACCCGCCCGAAAAAAAACATAGAATTTTTGGAATTATGATTATCATGACTTCTTGCTCCTGGGAACAACAGCTCGCTGTCCCCCATCTGCCAGACGTCCCCTGCAAGAGAGAGGCGGCTTTGGTTCTCGAGCCCCCAGGGGCACCGAGTCGCTCGCGGTCGCGGTAGCAGCGCGCGCAGAAGTCAAAATCCTCGCAGTCTGCGCACTTCATCACGCGCCCGGTCCGACGGCACCCCCTTCGGTGGCCACCAGCGATGACGGCGTCGAAGATCGCCCCTGTGAAGGGCAACGATCAAAAGGGGGCATACATATACAATCTGGCGTTCCGCGCGGCTTGCTTGGCTCTGCGCCGGACCCCCCCTCCCTGGCGCACGGCGCGCGCCAGGGGCGGCGCCGGAGGCGCCGCCAGGGGGGCCCCAGCGCGGATCCAAGAAACCCGCGCGGAGCGCCAAACATTTATGTTTATGCTGTTTTCATCTTCGATGATCGCCCCGCCCATCACACGACGCCCAAAAATCACAGACAAAGCGGCTGCCGGAACATTCGATATTGGACGGCAGCCCCAGACTCCCCATTCCCGCCGTGGGCCTTTCTCTCTCTTCGGACGCCCTGCCCCACCACCAGCAAAGCCCTCCAGTGAAGCGCCGGTCGGGGACACCGCACGTGATCAACGAGACGACACGGGTCTCACGCGAGACGACATAGCGGCCTTGCGCCGCGCCTTGCGTGGGCCGCCAGCGCGGCATGCCACACTTGAGACGAGGGCGCTTGCGCACGACCTTGCGCGGGAAGCTTTCGCGCCGATGCTGGCGCAGACGACCACGCTTGCCGGCGGCGCTCGTTTGTCGGAGGTCTGCGTCGCTGCCCCTGGCACTGGAGGCCTCCCAGATGGGGTCCGAATCCATGGGGTCGGAGGATCGCGCCGCCTCGCCGATACATCGCCGATGCATCGGCGACGTCGGCGATGCATCGGCGACGCTAGTGTGGGGAGCAGTGGGCCCCACATCAAACCGCATCGCCGACGCATCGGTGATGCGGCGCCATCGGCGATGCGGCGCGATCCCCCAGAGTTCCTTTCGGAGCGCCCACTGTGGCCCCCTTCCCTCGCGGATCGACCCTCGGCTCGGCCGCCAACAACAGGGCACCCGTCGGCTACACGAGACATGAGCCACTGTTGCATGCCTTGAAAGCCCGTCTCTGGCCCGACTTACATCTGGGAGGCCCAAACCCTGAGATCCGATGTCGTGAATGTTTCAATACGGGGTCTTTTGAAGTCTCGACCCATTCCCCAAGACCGGTTTTTCATCCTGAATCGATTTTTGACGGTCCCGAGGCCCGGTAAGGGCCCCCAGAGGCCAGAAACTGCGAAACACCTACGTCATGTTTTTTCTATACGTTGGATCTCTGGCCCATAGGCACGCGCTCCCCACCTGGGCTGGCCACCGTGCGCAAGGGCCGCAAGGGCTCGGCGGCCGCGGATCTCCGGGGGGCTCGGCGGCGCGGCGGCAGCCGTTGCGGCTCAGCGGGGGGCCGGCGCCGCAGCCGTCGCAGGTGACGTGCGGGTGCACCTCCGCGTCGTCGTCCTCGTCGGCGGGCCTGCCGGCGGGCGGGAACCGAGGCTTCCTAGAAGCGCTGCAGATGGGCCTGTTTTCCACCACCACCACCATAAGTCGGAGGGAGAGGGGGTCCTCCTCCTCCTCCTCCCCCTCCCCCTCCTCCTCCTTCTCCTCCTCCTCCTCCTCCTCCTCCTCCTCCTCCTCCTCCTCCCCCTCCGCCTCCGCCTCCGCCTCCGCCTCCTCCTCCTTCCCCCCTCCAACTTATGGTGGTGGTGGTGGAAAACATGCCCAGCAATCGAGGCTTCCTGGCAGCGCTGCTCTCCCAGAAGGAGGGGGAGCTCCAGACGGGGGCTCAAGAAGGGCACGGAGAGCTGGGGATGCCAGGGAACAGTGGGGGGCTCAGGACCCCCGACTCGTCCACAAAAGGGTTAGATGTCACTCGTGGGGACCAGGGATTCGGTGCTTAAAGACCCATTCATGTCTCATTCACGTCTCATGGATGTATCATGGACGGGGTCGGGGCAGGTGGGGTCCGATGATCGCACCGCATCGCCGATGCATCGGCGATGCATCGGCCATGCGCTGGCGACGTCGGCGGTGCATCGGCGACGTCGGCGTGGAGAAAGCTGGGCCCCACATCGAGCCGCATCGCTGATGCATCGCCGATGCATCGGTGATGCAGCGCGATCCGCCGACCCCGTCTCTACGTCGACCCCATCTTGGAGGCCTCTGCGAGAGGAGGGAGGCGGGCGTCCTGAGAGTCGGGGAGGTGGGAGGGCCCAGGGCGCCGCCCAGGCCGCCGTGCGGGCGCGTGCATGTTGCATGTTGCTGTGGCTCCTCGGGGCTCGTCCCCTTGGGATGGAGAGAGAGAAGGGGTGCCTGGCCGTCGCATTCTTTTCACAACGGGCGCTTGCGCCCAATCTCGGGCCCCGGGGTCATCGCAGGTCGACCCAGCTCGAAAAACGCCACGGAGGGGGAGGGGGGGGGGGAAGGAGGAGATACCCCCTCGCGTCACGGAGGCGCCCATCCGCCCTCCTATCGCTGCACGAGGTGGAGACGAGAAGGGGCAGGAGGGGAAGTAGGAAGGGGTTGAGGGAGAAACGGTCATCTTGTTCCTTCCTCCTCCTCCCTACTCCTCCTTACTCCTCTTCGCTCCTCCTCCTCCCTCCTCGATCCTCCTCCTCTCCTCATCTTCGTCATCTCTTACCGCTCTCCATCCTCTCCTTCCTCCTCCTCCTCCTCCTCCTCCTCCTCCTCCTCACTCCTCCTCCCTTGCCCTTCCTCTGCCTCCCCAACCCTTCGTCGCCACTGTCGCCTTCGTGGTCCCAAACCCCCGACGTCACGATTTTTTCACTACGCGGACCCCCCAAGGTCTGGACCCCTTCTCTAAAACCGGTTTTTCAACCCTGGTCGTTTTTTGATGGTCCCGGAAACCGGTGAGGGCCCCCAAAAGCAGAACCATACAAAAAACCTCCTGGCGTGATTTCTTCACGCCTCGAAGGGGCCTGGCGTCGTCGTCGCCGTCGTCACCGTCAGAGGCAACTCAGGGGAACCTCCCATGTCATCTTGCTGGCTCTCGCGAATCGACGCTGATCGACACTGACCGGGCGACGCTCAACCGGCGCTCTCTCAGCAGTCCCATGCAAGCGCGCGCCGCTGCACTCTCGAGGTGGAAGTCTGAGGACACGCAAGGCCCCCAGGGAATGGCTACCAAAGCCAGACAAATTCCGAAGACATTTTGCGACGTGACTTTTCCACGACTCGAGGACGTCTGGGGTCGTCGGCGCCGTCGTCGTCGACGTCATGTCCGCCCTCCTCCGTGCACGCCCAACAACTGAAATGGAGAGCGTGGGCACGATACCCAACAGCAGTGCCTGTTGACATGTAGCAGGAATTGCTGCCCCTTGGAGCTCTCTGTCCCCATGCCGGCAACAAGGCCTGCCCACTTGCACAACAACAACTGCCAGACGGACGAAGAGTGCTGTCGAAGGGCCAAGGTTTGCTCTCCGACACGCCCCAGCGGACTGCCCGTCCCGTTCCACGCGAACAGCCCAACCATTTCGTCCCCATTCCGTGCGTGCATGCCGTCGTCGTCGTCGTCGTCGTCGTCGTCGTCGTCGTCGTCGTCGTCGTCGTCGTCGTCGTCGTCGTGTGAGTCTGAGCATTCGTCGAAGCGGCGCGGCGTCCTCGTCACGGCGTTCTCCACCTCGCCGGTGCGGCGCCTCAGGCGAGCGGCCAGGGAGCCGCCGGCGCCGCCTGGCGGAGGGACGAATGGTAACGCCAAGAAGGACCCTCAGGGGGGAAACACCGACCTGGAATCGGTGATATCTGTATGCGTGTGTATATATATCTATATATATATATATATATATATACACAGTCGGGCCGCTGACCAAAGAAACGACAGATAAGGAACGGTGCCCCTTTTGTCCAAAGGAGCCCATGAAATCCGAAAGGGCACTGGGGGGGCTCGCCGCCAACAGAAAGCGGAACGCATGCAAACCCAAGGAACGCCCGAGCCCATTTCGAAACGTGCGTGTCCCTTCTCCCGCAGCCCGACTGTACAGTAAAACTCGCAGCAGGCAGGTGCATAACAAACCAGCGTTCATGAGGCACCACCCCAGAGCGTACCGGCGGCAATCAACGTCGCGACGTTTGTTGTTGTTTCGACGTCGCGAGTCGCGACCCAGGCACTTCCAGGCGCTCGAGGCCGCACGCGCAGGCGCGCAGCCCCCCATGCTCGCCTAGGCCAGGCGCGCTCGCCGTCATCGTGCACGAGTGAGAGTTCCTACGCTACGTTCGGTGGTTGTGGCCGAAAGGCGATTGCAAGTGGCTTGCTCCTCTATCGGGCGTTGGCGGAACTTGGTTCAGGGGGACCTGGTTTAGTGATGCACACTGTGGGACGCCCCCCCACGCCCCCCTCCACGAACGGGAACTGCCGTCACCCGAAAAGACACAGGCTACGGCAGACCTGGTTTAGAGATTACTGTAGATCATGCGCACCTGGTATGGGCCCGCGCTGCCGAATCTCAGGCAGGCCATCAGCCGCCTCCCCTCAATGCCCGTGAATTCCAACGGGCCAACCTCGGGCTCTTCGCGAAGACAGCGACGGCGAAAGAAGGCGATGCGGCCCTCGCGAACGCGGACCCCCATGGAACCCTGGAAGCGGCGGCGCGGGTTGGCGGGGGGCAAGAGCTGGATGTCAGACACCTCCACCCGCATGGGCGTCTCGCACACCTTTCGAACCTGCACGGAACCCGTTTCGGGGTCAAAGATCACGTAGCTCCAGTCAGCGGCTACACGACAAACGACTGCCAGGCTGACGCAGTCTGGGTTCGCGAGCACCTCCACCTCCAAGGACGCAGAGTGCTTCGTGGACCGGGCGACGTCGACAAGCGGCACGGCCGAAAGGAAATCGAGGTCCCGCAACTGGTACCAAGGCCCACCCAGGGCCCTGTCGAGCTCCCGCAGCTGCTGGCATGTGACGTCCAGGTGGCCGAGCGAGCCATCGTCGAGGAAGGCTGCCACGGTGAAGTAGACATCCTCTTCCAGGTCTACGAGGTTGACCCCGGGCTCCACCACTGTCTCCTCCACTCCAGCACCCGCCGGCGCAGCTCCGCAGAGGTCCCAGACCTTTCCGGCCGTTCGTCGGCCGCCAAGGGAGTTGCCAGCAGCGCAGCGGGCGCAGGCGGCCCATCGGCCGAGCTCCTCGAGGTCATCGCCGAGGCTCTTGCGCGAGGGCAGGCGCCCGATGGCGGCGTGGAAGGTCGTGCCACGGGCTTTGGTTCCTTGGCGGGCACAAGGGAGCCGGCTTCTTCCGCGATCCATGGCGCTGCGAATTCTGGCCGCCCAACGGCCGGACCCCCTTAAATTCAAGCACTGCAGTTGAACCAAAAATGGCTACGGAATCAGAATCGCAGCATGTGATGCCACCATGGGGCACCGGGCACAAGCCATTAAAACACGACCCGTAAGGCACCAAAGCAACAAGGAGACACCCGCGACCGTTAGGGCACCACAGCACATTCATCCGTCATATACAGCAATTGATGATCAGCGCGCAGAGGTAAGAAGACAGCCTAGCGACCTCTATGATATCTTTGGGCACCAAACATTGCGCATCGAATATTGGGCAATCGGGCAATAACGATTCAATTGCAGCCGTGAGGGCGCCACGTGGCGCCAGCAACAGAGCACTGCCAACATAGAGCACCAGGGCAATGATCACATCGTCAATTCCGTGGCATCAAAAGAAAAGGCACCAGCCGAAGAGCATTACCCATGCTGCACCAGGACAACGCCAAAATCATCGCGACTCGTGGGACAGCATACTGAACCAGCCATAGCGAACAATACACACATCGCCAGCTCTGTATTCTACAGCGAGGCAACCACAACCATGACATTGTTTCGGGCGAACATGTGGACATGTTTTGCGGGTGTCCCCACTCTGCAATATGATGCATGCACTTGTTGATGCACGGCCGTTGCAAATGTTTTGTAGGATTGGCACGTGCGCATATTCGTCAGTCCCTTAGGTGTGCGCCTCAATCAGGCGGGTGGCAAGGCATCTTGGGCGTCTTCGGGGCCTCTTGGGACCGTCTTGGGCCCACTCGGGGCTTCCTTAGCCTGTCGTGGCCTGTTCCGGGGCGGGCCCAGGCCGCCTCGGAATCCCTGTGGGCGCCCTCTTGGGGCGCTCTTGGGGCACACTTGGGTTGTCTGGGGAGCCTCCTGGGCCGTCTTGGGGCCCTCTTCGGGGCCTCGTGGGCCGTCCTGGAGCTATCTGAAGGGCCTCCGAGGCCGTGAGGGAGCGCTGGAAAGCGGGAAAAACGATAACGCCAAAATCCTTCAAAAATCATAGGACAATTAATTAATGTTGCCTCCCAGGGCCCTCTTGGGAAGCCTCTAGAGTCCGTCCTGGAGCGTGTTGGAGTCCTCGTCGGCTGTCTTGAGGGCATCATGGGCGTCTTCGGAGCCTCTTGTGATCGTCTTGGGCCCTCTCGGGATCCCCTCAGCCTGTCGTGCCCTGCTTCGGGGCGGGCCCGGGCCGCCTCGGGAGCTCTGGAACCCCCCGACAACCCCTGGCGGGCGCCCCTGGAGAGAACAGGCACCAGCCTGGCCCCGGGCCTACTCCGATAGATAGATAGATAGATAGATAGATAGATAGATAGATAGATAGATAGATAGATAGATAGATAGATATTTATATATAGATATATAGATATATATAGATATATAGATGTATAGATATACATATATATATACATATATATATAGACATATATATATATGTATTTATGTAGATCTATATATATGTATATACATATACATATGGTGGCATGCATACATATAATGATCCATATAACTATATATGTATACATATAAATCGAACGGTACATACATAATTAGACAGACATGTACATCTATATGTATATATACACATATACATATATTTGTATCGTTATATATGTATATAAAATATGATGTCGCCGGTCGATCGACGACAGGCCCCCCACATCGAAAAAGCTCAAGGCCCCCAGGCGGGGTCGGTGGTGGATGCGTCCCCCCAGGTGCCCATCTACCCCCTCTTGGCGTGGCCCCATGGCGGGAGGGTCCACGGCCCAGGCTCGAGGCTCTGAGCCCCAAACGCCCCTCGAGGCGGGCACCAACTGCTGTTGGGCTTGTCTTCCACCGCTGCCACCATAAGTAGGAGGGGGAGGGGGTCCTCCTCCTCCTCCTCCTCCTCTTCGTCCTCCTCTTCGTCTCCTCCTCCTCCTCCACCTCCTTCCCCCCTCCAACTTCTGGTGGTGGTGGTGGACAGCAGGCCCCTCAACTGCTGGCGGGAACTGTTCGCCGACCCTCGCCCTCCGGGCGCCCCCGCCGGGCCCCGCGGGGCGGCCCGAGAGCACGGCCCGGCAGGCCGAGCGGGTCCCGGGGAAGGGATCCAGGCCTCTGGGGGCCCACGCCACGGAGAAGCAGGACGTCGGGGGGCCCGGAGGTGCTCCGGAGGTCTCGTCGGAGCTCCTCGGCGCATCCCGAGGGGCCGAGCTGCACTGGCAGCGCAGTCGCCTCCGGGCAGAGGCGAGGTCCTGCCCAGCTCGGCAAGGTGCACCGCCCACGCAGGCTGATGTGAGGGGGAACGGGAGGGACACGCATGGTACGGGGGAATGGGAATGGAGGAGGGGGCAGGGAGAGGAGGGAGGAAGAGGAGGAGGAGGAGGAGGAGGAGGAGGAGGAGGAGGAGGAGCAGGACGAGGAGGTGGGGCAGGAGAAGGGGGTTGGCGATTGTTGGATTGCGAAGCCAATGAAGCATGACGCCTTTCAGAGAAAGGCGGCACACAGCTGGCAGAAACTGAGTTTGCACTGAAACAATCTGCACGGGCGCCCAGGTGGGTGTTCCATAGAGTGGAACGCCTACCTTGTTGGGGATGGAGGGAACAGGGGGGGCGAATAGAGGAGAACTGGGGGGAACATCGAAATACCTAGGTCGAGGGCGTCAGAAGGCCCCACCCATTCCCACCCTCCCTCCCACCGCATGAACATCAATTGTGGCACATACTGATATTGGGATTGGAGCGTTTTCCCACCTCGCAAACAGAAGGTGTTCGCACGTGGCCCCAGTTCGGACAAACTTCGCGAAGGGAACGCTACATTGGCCGCGCAGGGGCGGGAACGGCAAAACTTCTGATGTGCGCGGCGAAGACGAAGCATGCTCTGCGATGACACACACCTGCCACTTTCACTCATCAATTGCGCGGCGCTTGGGAGAGGCCTGCATTTCTCCCGCTCTGCAGTCGGACTTGATTGGACAAGGCACGCGAGAGGACACAAGAACCTTCCGAGTGCCACAGTGCTCTAGGAATGCAGGAGGCATAGGTCGCGAGACACAGGACACTAAAAGTACCCTTGCTTTTTTGGACGCCCGAAATGGGTACGGAAAGAATGGGCACTATGCCCAACAACCAATGTTGTCCCAAACCAGCAGCGGCCGCTGTTGGGCGGGCGGCCTCCTGTCTCGAATGGACACAAGCCGCGGCGGCGTGGACAGCGGATCTTGTTCAAAATGAACCAGATCCGCTGTTGGGCATAGTACCCATTCTTTCAGTACCCATTTCGGGCGTCCAGAGCTTTGGCAGGATCGACCTACTTATCAATGCCGACTGTGCTGCGGCGGCCGCTGCCGCTTTCGGCTCCGCGCGCCGCGGCGAGAGAGCCGCGCGCCGCGCCCGCGCGGGAACGCCACGCCTCCGAGCGACCTGCGCGCGGAGCCCGGGCGGGTGGGCGACACGAAGTCGCCCACTCGCGCGGGTCTCCCAGAAACCCGCGAGCGGCCATCGTGCGCGCCCCGCCGGGGCGGGAGGGCCACTCTCAGAGAGCGCGATCGGCGGGAGGGCCACGTGTGCTGCAAGGCGAGATCGGCGAGGAGGCCGTCGAGGCGGGAGGGCCGTCGGGGCGGGAGGGCCACACGGTCTGTGCGGCGCCGAGGCGAGAGCGGCACGTTCGCCCGCCTGCGCGTCGACGATCCTGAGGAAAGGAGAAGGAGGAGGAAGAGGAGGAGGAGGAGGCGGAGGAGGAGGAGGGGGGGGAGGACAAGATATGTGCGCTCGCGTCATCTCTGACGTCCTACCCCTCCCTCCCATCCCTTACCATGGCGCTGATTTTCTCTATCCACGGACGCGTGTCGTAGCGGACCTGTGGCTCCGCGCGCGCGTGCGTAGTGGGTGGTGGTGCGCGTGCGTGCGTGCGTGCGTGCGTGTGTGCGTGGTGTGTGGTTGTGTGTTGTGGTTGTGGTTGTGGTTGTGGTTGTGGTTGTGGTTGTGGTTGTGGTGGTGTGTGGTGGTGGTGGTGGTGGTGGTGGTGGTGCGTGTGTGCGTGTGTGCGCGTGTGCTGTGGTGTGGCGTCTTGGTGGTTTGGTGGTGGGCCAGGTGCGTGCGTGCGTGATGGCGGTGGTGGTGGTGGCGGTGGTGGTGGTGTGTGTGTGTGTGTGCGTGTGTGTGTGCGTGTGTATGTGTGTGTGTGTGTGCGTGCGTGTGTGTCTGTGTGCGCCGCGTGTGATGTGGTGTGACGCGGTGTAGCGTGGCGGTGGTGGGTGGGGTAGTGGGGTGGTGGTGGCGGTGCGCGTGCGTGCGTGCGTGCGTGCGTTGGTGGGTGGAAGTGGCGGTGGGCGGGGCGGGGCGCGGTGCGGTGGTGGCGGGCGGATGGGCGCGCGAGAAAGAGGCCCGCGCTGGGGCGAGAACGCCATCCTGAACGACGGAGGCAAAACACCGATCCGAAAATGAGACCCACGCTGCAGCGGGAGCACGATTCGGAACGAGCGGGGCCCGAAAATGAGGCCGGCGCCTCAGCGAGGGCAGCATTTTGGAAAAAAATGCAAGCGAAAACCCAACTCTGGGGAAACCTGTGTAAAAAACAGTACGCGGGGGGGCGGGCGGCTACTCCCAAGACGTCATCAGGGGAAGAGGGAGAGTAGTATTCATATTGAGTAATTGTGGAGGAGGAGGAGGGGGCTGCGTGCCAGCAAAAAAGTGTGCGCCGCGCCAGGACGGGAGCTCGGCTCCCTGGAAGAAGGTGCGCGCCGCCGAGGCGAGAGCGACATCTCGGCCTTTCGCGCGGGATGTGCGCCGTGTCCCACTCCTGCCACGCAGTTTGCAACGTCGACGACAAAAACACATGTTGGAACAAAAGGCAGTGATTTTGCATGGGTCTTTGACCGATCGGATGGGACCACCCCGGTCTGATTGCTATCGGCCCGTGCTGTGGCAGCCTCGGAGTATATATATATATATATATATATATATATATATCAAGAAAGAATACGGATGAGGACCATGAGGAGAAGGAAAGGGAAAACGACGGGAAGGATGTGAAGAGAATGGAGAAGCAGGAAAAAAGACAGGAAGGGTACAGCAGGAGCCTGCATTGACGAATTGCGCGTTGGTTTCTGACACCGCGTGGAGCGTCCTGGGCCACTGACCACGTTCAAGCTAGGACGCCCGCGCCCGTGTCACCGCCACGTCGACGCGGCGCGAACCTACTGGCAGGCGTAGAGGCTTGGGGTGGAAGCGAAATCAATCAACATCGAGTCGGGGAAAGAGATCGGATCCGAACGGACGTCGCGTGGGGCTGCATCGGCAAGGACTCGGAATCGAATCGGATCGGCCGCCGCCAAGATGCACAACAACTCTACGCAATGATTGGGCCGCACTAATTCGATTAGATATCGGAATCGACTCGAGTGGGGCCTGCCAATATTGATAATGGTATCGAATCGGATCGACCGGATCGACATGCACCCTTGATGAGGGAGCAGGGGGTAGAGAAACAACAGTATTAATATTAACAAGTGTATGACTAATGCTATTATTACTAAAGACAGAAACAAGCAATGGGAATGCTTGGGATCTGCGCTGAGCTCGCCTGGCGGCGTCTCTGGCGCCGCGAGCGCGCCAGGATGGGGGGGCCAGCGCGCTCCCAGAAATCCGCGCGGAGCCCTCACAGTTGATATGAATGCAGCTGTTTTGTCTTCGAGAGAGGGACTCAGCAGGAAGGCCATACAGGAATACAAACAAACGACATACATACATAAACTGTAGGATCGCCGCGCGGATTTCTGGCATTTTCGCTGCGCCCTCCTCCCTGGCGCGAGGAGCGCGACCAGGGCGGCGCTGGAGCTGCGGCAAGCGGGGTCCAGCGCCGATCCGAGAAATCCGCGCGGAGCTCCGAAAGCTCTGTAGTTATGCAGTCCTTCCTTTTTGACATTCACACCCAAGGTCCCAGGTG